ACCCATGGAGTTTCAGGTCACGTGGTTACAAACTCCCTATGAGAGTTTTAAAAACCCTTTTTGGTCGTGACGTGTGTACTTGTGTGTGTGTGGGGGGGGGGGGGGGGGGCATCAGTTTGCACGTCGATGTGAAACACATTTTGGCTGACCGTTTGAGAATCTGTCAACAGGCAACGAAATTATCAACGCAGCGAAGATTCGCAACAATCATTTGGTGCTTATTGTGAACATTTCAAGATACTTTGCCCCGTTGAACCACGCTGGACATCGGTTCGATTCTTTGAAAAAACGCCGCGAATGCCGCGCTTCAAAGGGCCGCGTCACAAGAAATTTTGAAGAATTATTTAATGGTAACAAAAGTAAGCTGTTACGATCGTCAGCGATTGCGCCTAGAGTTTCACCATCTAAAACTTCGAAGCGGTCTCAAGTTGGCTTCGCTCGACCACGGCAGGCTGGCCGGCAACCCGTGTGAGAGATTCGCCGGTGATGCATTCGCGCCGTCTCCGCCTATGGCGGCTTCTCAGAGTGTCACCGATATTTCACCGGCTGCAACATCTAAGCGGTAGGAAGGCCTCGCTACGTCGTCGGTATCAATCCGGCGTCGTAGCAAGCTCGAACTGCGCGCAGGCTGCCGTGTCGAGCTCTACGAGTTAGCACTGACCACCGGTGAGGCAAAGAATGTGTTTCACAAAGAAGAAAGACTGCTGGGGTGAATAACAGTCTTGAGCGCCTTGCGACCGCAGCTGTGAAAGGAATAACACAAAGGTGAGTGCCGAACGAGCCGGAGACACACAGAAACAGCGTATGGCATGCATGCCCATGCAACGCATGCGAGCAACAGGATCCGCGACTACGAACTGTCTCGTTCGTTCAAGTCCATCGCTCCGTAGATCAAACTGCGTGTATAGCGAACACCCATTTCTGTGCATGGGAAAAATAACGAGAAGAAAATAGCACACCAGCAAGCATTTTGTGATCGCCAGCTGTCGCTCATCGAAGCACCATGCCTGACTCGTGAGTGAGGCCTATTCATCGAACGTGGTAGCGACGGTGTACCTTGGTTCGTCACTGGAGCTGCTGAATGTGCGCCGTTGATGTGTTCATGCAAGGGCACTCGGGCTTTGTGTACGATTCAGCGCACTTTATGGATTCACACACAGCACTGATAATGCAAATTAAGCCTGTACGACCAAGCACCAACTGATAAAACTCTTTCGCTATATTTAAAAATAATTGAATATTAGGAAGGCTTAAGATAAAAGGCATGTGTGTTGAAGTGCTTAAATTAGGTCATCGCAACTTTATACCTACGCCATGCATTTTGTAGCGAAAGCTGTTATGAAATTCCTTTTCTGGTCACGCAGAGTTGTTGTTCACCGCCGCTGCCACCGCCGGTGTCCATAACCCTATTGCGCGCAAATATAAAAAAAACTTGCACCAATGACACAGTGGGGCTTGAACGCGGGTGCACTGGGTACCAGCCCAATATTCTACCATGGAATTACGCTAGTGTTTAACTTGTTGTCAAATTGCCTTAGGCAGGCATGACCTATAGGACCGGTGGCACAGTGGGGCTCCAACCCTGGTCCGCTGGGTGCCAGCGCAGTATTCTAATACTGAGCTACATCGGTGCTTGTGACTTGTTGTTAAACTTGCCTTAGGCATGCTTGAAGTCGGGAAAAGAATCGCCTTAATACGACCTATAAAGCGCTTTACAAGAGCGAAAGAACAACCAGCTGTCGCACATTGTGAATAGCGTAACCAGTGGGCCGTTCAGGGCTCCAAGCCATCACAAAAGCTTGTTCTTGTTTCTTATTAACTGTGGTGCATACCCACTTCAGCCATGATTCCTCATTGTCGTCAGCTACTGCATGGGCAATTAGCCCAAAATTCCTTGAAAGTGTTTAGCGGATACCGCTCTTTTCAGAGAATGACAAAAAAATGGCATAGTGAATGCCGGCGTGCTACCCAAAAGTTAATAATAATGCCCAAGTGGGTACCAAGCAATGTGCTTACCCTAAACGTGTTTTGAAAAAGCTCTGAAAGGCCGCTCTTCTCGCTTTAGCTGTGACTGTGCTGCGCCTACCGCGCAGGCCTGGCGTTTCTTTTTTTTTTTTTTTTGCTTAACTATTAAGAAAGGGTCCCTCCATAGCTACATGGGGGTTCAGAATAGGGTGCCCATATATACCAGTTGACTGAAGCGTAGGTGTGCAGCGTGAGTGGCAAGCTTTGGTGAGTGTGAGTGTTGTAACATTACGTGAACGTTGTGTGCATGTCTGTTTGCTCCAATCAATATTGCGTGCTTCGAAGATAATGAAATTAAAATTACGCTTGCGCATGGTACGGCTGCTGACGTAATTTTTTTCCTCAGTTGATGTGAACAATTACTCCCATACTGACCTGAAAAAAATCCACGATGAATGTAAACAAGAACTCCCCTAAATGCATCCGGAAAGCCCTGCCTGTTGGGGAGTAAATATCTTACTTCCTCTTGACGGTGTTCATAAAACCCTTATCGGGGCATGCGTTATAGGACAAGTCGTTTGCTCCCATCTCGGCTTATCTCTGTTTACAGTGATGAAAGACTGCGGCATCCCTATTCGAACTCACTGACCTTCTCAAATACGACCTCCCGTTTTGTTGTGCCCTCTCTAAGCGGAGGCTTTTTCTCAACTAATCACCGCTCTATAGACAGCCCCGATACTTGCATGGGCATGTTGACCCAGATGCTTCTACAGAAGTGCGCAAAGACGCTAGAGGTGACGGCATTGGCGCAGTTTTGGCCCAAACTCAGTAGGGAACTGCTCGCGTTCTTGCATATACAAATCATCTTCTTTTGAAGTCTGAGCGTAACTACTCTATATTGGAACGAGAATGCCGTTCCCTTGTCTGGGCGGTTTCGAAATTCCGTCCTTACCTCCATGGTGGTCCGTTCCGTGCCGTCACAGATCATTACACACTCTGTAGGCTTTCTTCCCTTATGGACCCTACATGATGACTTGGTCGTTGGGCGTTGCGTCTTAAGGAGTACTCCTACTCACCTGCCTACAAGTGTGGACGCCTCCATCTGGACGCCGATTGCTTGCACCGCTACGCGCTTAACTAACCAGACAAATCGGTCATCAAGCACAGCCTCAGGTTTATGTCCATGTCTAGGTTTCTTCAGATTTTGACGAACAACGCCAAGATGCTCCCTTGGGGTAACTCATTGACCACCTTGAATTTGCCCCTTACGACGCAAGTTCGTCCTCCTGAATGCCATGCTGTGCCGCCTTAGCGTCAAGCTAAATGGCCTTGAGTGACTTCTCGTCGTGCGTGAACATTTGCGTTCAACAGTACTGCATGAGCTTCACAAAAAACTGACTGCCAGCCACTTGAACGCATCTCGCGTGCATGACCGCGCCTGGCGCCCCTTGTTTTCGACGTTACATCGCCTTTTGCGATAAATGCCAAAGCCGGAAACATCCTTCTGCGACGCCTGCTGTACTCGTTCACCTGATCTTCATCTCTATCGAACCTTTTTTCTGTGTTGGTGTAGACCTTCTTGGACCGTTCCCTGAGTCAAACTGTGGAACAAGTGGGTCACCGTTGCTAGAAACCATTCGACTAGGTTTGCCATCACTGGAGCGCTTTCCACCAGCAGTGCTACTGACTTTGCCGACTTTTTGCTCCACAGTGTCTTTTTACAGCATAGCACTCCTCACCAATAGCTCATTTCTGTCACGAGAAATCGGCGATCTTTCACGCTCTTCTTCAAAGCAGCACAAGTGGACCACTTCCTACCATCCTCAAATAAATTGCCTCAGCATGTTACTAAATCGCACCTTCACAGACATGCTCTCGATGTATGTATCATGTGACCATCATGACGGATCTAGCACTAACTACCTCACGTGAAGTTCGCTATATTTCCTCTCGTCTTGACATCGCAGGTTACTCATCTTTTTATGTGCCCTATAGCCGTGATCCGACTTTACCACTGGACACCCTACTACCGACTACTACACCTCCGCCGAGCGAGTACTCACGCGATGCTATCACTTGTGCCAACCACGCCGGTCAGATCGCCTGCCCTAGGCTGTTGGCTTCACAAGCAACGTAGAAGGCTGCCTACAACAGCAAGCAAGACCACAATCGCTTCTCGCCTGGTTCCTTGGTTCTTCTTTCGTGCCCAGTTTATCGTGTTTAAACGTCAGAGAAGTTATCTCGGTAGAAGTGACCTTACCGTATCATTTGACGGGTAACACACTTTACCTATGGGATTGTCCTGTCTCTGAGACAAACCTGTTTGCAAACACCCCCAGTGACGTAGTCCACGTTAGTAGGTGTGAACCATACAACCGTCCTTCTGAAGAGCACGTATGAAATTCACCGAGCCGGCGATTTACAGCCGGGAGGTAATTCTGCGTAGTTAACGCATCAAGGGTAAGACATTCTGCGTGCAGAAGACGATGAAGAGGACTGGCTTGCCCGCTGTTGGTGCTGCACTGTGTCTTGATTAGTGGAAATACACTCGAAATTGTCGCGTCTCGCCTCATTTTATGTAACAATATTGCGTTTAACAAAAAACGAGTCCTTGAATTTTCACTTCATTCCATCATTTTCAGAAAGTAGAGAAAACGATTTCTACTTTAATTTGTAATTTCAATGTAAATTTCCAGCCACGCGCTGCGCTGTATTGTTTGCCTAACGTGTTCCCAGGAGCTCCGACTACCAAATGGTTATGTTTTCCTAATATGATGAATAACTGTTGCAGGACTTCTTTAGGAAAACATGCAGGAGTACCTCGTTGTACCTTGCAACGTCCCAGTTTTATGTGTGACGCTCCGAGCCTTTTTCCTATCTTTTAGAATTTGCTGTCTTTGCAAAGCCACCGTACTCTTCTTACACCAGCGTAAGACAAAGAGGCAAAACGATGCTAAATCTCTTTAAACCACGAGCTTGCCAATGAGAACGCCGGCAAAAATTAGTTTCTTGTTAACATTAAGATCACGCTCTACCTGAGGATGAAGAAAGTTTCAATGCTGAGGTATCCGGAGAACACGGGGGTGAGCACAATATTTGATCTGAGGGCGAAGATGTCCAGAACTTTACCTGTAAAAAAAGAAGAAAAGGCTTTGAAAGAAGCATTAGCCTGCATTAAACACATTGCACTGATTGAAATATACTCATGAAATAGTGTAGTGAAGGCACTTCAAGCATGCACTAAATCTGAAGAAGGGCTTCGTGTCCATATTTGTTTATTTAGTTACGCACTGCATAACACTTCAAACTCCAAGCAGTAACGAAAATTGCAGACGAACATGCGGTTACAGCGCCCCAGTTAACATAACACGTGGCCCAAATGTGTGCTGTTCGAGAGATGCTGCAAATATAAAACAAGCCACGATGTTGTGATATCCTGGACACTCAGTGCTTTATTCTACGCCCTCACTTATGAACCTTGCTGATTTTTGGTATTCCGAAAAAACTCGATAGCCCTTCGTCCATTGTGCCAATGTTGCACTCGTATTCACATTTGTGGAGCAGTAATTAAATGTCATTTGTTACATTCACGAAAATACAGCACTGTGCACCATTCAATATGCATCTTGCATCGAGAAACAATATAAGCTAGGATGAAGTTGTTAGACGTGATCAGTGCGTAATAGAAACAAAGAAGGAAAAGAAGGTGGAGGAGAAGCAAGAGGAAGAAAAGTGAGCTTGTCCGTGGCAATGAAGTGGATGAAGCTTTTCAAAAAAAAGACTGTTCCAGAATTTTGTGAGTAAAGGACATCACGCGCAATGCAGTTCCCTTCTTCCTATCCTAGCACAGCTTCAAGCGACAAATGGGTTCGTACTAATATGCATCATAAAAGCATTTCATTTCAGAGACCAAAGCAACCTATCATGTCAAAAAAACCAAACCAAAATCTTTAGCATTCCCAAGAAACATCATGCCCCGCCGCGGTGGTCTAGTGGCGAAGGTACTCGGCTGCTGACCCGCAGGGCGCGGGTTCGCATCCCGGCTGCGGCGGCTGCATTTCCGATGGAGGCGGAAATTTTGTAGGCCCGTTGTTCAGATTTGGGTGCACGTTAAAGAACCCCAGGTGGTCTAAATTTCCGAAGCCCTCCACTACGGCGTCTCTCTTAATCATATAGTGGTTTTGGGACATTAAACCCCACATATCAATCAATAAATAAGCATCATTATCATTAGCCTGACCAGGCCCACTGCAGGGCAAAAGCCTTTCCCATGTTCCGCCGATCAACTCAGTCCTGTGCTTTCTCCTGCCACCATAGGTCGGCAAAAAAAGCGGAACTCACTCAGACTCGCTTGTTGAATACATTTTGCGCTTAGGACTTACTCGGACTTAGGCTCATTGAAATTTTTCTGTGCCAGACACGCTCGGACCAAGCTCAGAAAATTGTTCTTCAACCGGACTCACTAAGACTCAAACTAACCAAAAAATTATTCACGCGGACTCACTATGACTCACGGCTTGATCTTAGTCTGTGTGAGTCCGAGTGAGTCAACTCATGAGTCCGTTAGCCTTGAATTAGCTTTTCAGACCACGACGTCAATGACCATCTTACCAATATATTACGTAATAGGTGCTGCTTTTGGCGCTTTTGGATATAGTACATTCTACTAAGTGTTATTTGTGATTTCAAACCGACAAGAACATTTTTATTGCAAGAGATGACAATATAAGATATATTTGTCATGAAGCTCCCGAAAGAATTGGTGGTGGGAGAGTACAAGGCACCACCTAAGTAATTCACATTTCTAATTAATAACTATTGAAATAGTGTATGAATGATATTCTTTGAAAAATTCGTGAGTAGACGTGCATGTAAACATAAATCCAGGTAAGGCTCATACTATACTGAAGACGAGTGGATAAAACCATAGGTCAGCAAGCATGAGTGAATCTCAATTAGACTAACTCAAGAAATATATCTTGCGCTTTGAATTCATTCAGAGTCGTCAAAACTTTTGAGAGTCGAACCCACTCGGGCTTACACTCACTAAATTTTCTTCAACCAGACTCACTTCGACTGAAACTCACGCAAATACTGCCCACACGAACTCACTCAGACTTGGGCTCAGAGCTTGATTTAGTCTGAATGAGTGGGAGTGAGTCGACTTATAAGTGAAGTTCTCCGAATTTGGGTAGCCACTTTAGACCCGCAAGCTACCTAGTCTCATTTGCCCACTCTACTTGATGTCTCCCCTTCCCCCACTTACCTTCTTTTGTAATTCAGTCTTTGATCAATATTCACCACCAGTTATCTTGCCTCCGCGCTACGTGTCTGGCCCATGAGCATTCATTGCTGATTTTGACTATGACGTCTTTAATACCCGTTGTTCCCTGATGTACTTTGCTCTCTTATTATCCCTTGGGGTTGCACCTATCTTTTTCCATCCATTGCTCGCTGCGTCTTCTTCTGCTTAAGTTGAGCGATCTTTTTAATCCACCAGGCTTCTGCTCCGTAGGCAAGTACCCATAAGATGAAGCTGTTGTATACCTTTCTCTCAAGTGATCGTGCCAATCAACAATTAACAAGTTGAGAATGCTTGCAAAATGTACTTCAACCTTTTTTTCATTTTTCAGGTTACTTCAATCTCGTGGTTTGGCTCCACGGTTACTACAACAACTACGTGCTCGTTCACAACTTCATGTGGACTGCTACATATTTCGAAGTGCTGTTCTTTTCCGATTTTGTTGTGCATTACTTTCGCTTTCTGTAGATTAATTTTAACACCTACTTTTCTGCTCTCCTCATCTGATTGAGAAATTATCAAATGGTATTAGGGCCCAGAGCTGCTCCGCTATCCACCGTCATCGGCGAATTCCAGGTTACTAAGTTACTTTCCATTAACTCATATGCCTAACTATTCCACATCTAAACCTCTGAAAACTTCTTGTAAGCACGCGATAAAGAGCGTTCGGGAAATCTTATCCCCTTGTGTTACACCCTTCTTTATTGGTATCCTGTTACTTTTTTTGCGGAGCACTATGGTGGCAGCGGATTCACTGTAGATTTCTTCCAAGATGTTTATATATGCTTTGCGGATGACTTCATTGCGCAGTGTCTGCATGATTTTCGACATATTTACTGAATGATTGCATACTGATAATCTATGAAGGCTATGTATAGTGGTCGGGTGTGTCTGAGCTGTTCTCTATCAGCGAATTTATTGTATGAACGTTGTCGACTGTTGATTAGCCTGTAATAAATGCCGCTTGATCACTTGTTTGATTGAATTATAATGTTGTACTAATTCTACTAGCAATTACCTTTTGTAAATAGCTTGTATACGATGAAGAGCAAGCAAGCTAAGCAGCTTATTTTCTTCAAGTTCTTGTCATCCCCATTCTTATGAATTAGGATAATGCTAGCATTCTTCCAAGATTTTGGTACTCTCCCCATCAGGAGAGACTTTGTAAACAGGATGGCCTATCTTTTAAACACAATAACTCCTCCGTATTTCAGTAGATGTGATGTAACCTGATCCTCATCAGCCGCTCTGCCACTTTGTGTTACCTTCATGACTTCTGTCATTACTTCTGTCCAAATCAGTACTGTATTCCTAATATTACTCAAGTGGAGGCTCCAAATAAATTTCAAACAACTGACAAGAGTTCATCATTGTCCAACTTGCGCATATAAGTACAGCTCTCTTACATAGAAAGCGTTTTATAAGCTGAAGGATATGAGCAAAATATATACCCATGCTGTTGGGTTCCGACACAATGTAGTTGTGTGTGACCACGACCCACACAGCACTAAGGAAGCGCACGCCTTCGAGACAGCGTAGCTGTCCTCCAGAGCCGGCGTTCAAGTCGAAAAGGCGCTGTGTGTTCGTGATGCTTGAGAAAGACAGGAGAACCTTGGCTTTCGCAGTCTTGTCTGCACGAAAATGTGTGAAAAAGTGAAGAAAAAGTATGGCTTAAAGCAAAGAAAAAATACTGCATTTAAGATCAGTACCACTGTCTATCTCCAAGACAAAAAACAATCAATCCAGGCACCTTTACAATTTGCTTCTTCTACTAGAACCTTTCACAACACCTTGTACACCTTGCAGTCCATCCGCTCAAACGTGATACCTACACCAACCGACACCCCCAACGCCTTCATCGTTCAGGGTATTTTAGGCGTAAAACAAGATAGCCGAAAGGTGGAAGCCCGGCTTCTCTTCAATCTTTTTCCTAGAGTCGTCCACGAAAGGCTGTTTGAGGAACTTCATTGAGCAAATGAGTGTGGGTGCTTGCACAATTAATCGATTGTCCTGGGAAGTACATGTTAAACCAAAAAAGCCTTTTGTCACTCGCATTTGGGCAGTGGTACTTATGCAGGTGGCGAGACGTGTAAACTGCAGCCACGCTGGGGTGGCCATTATATGCGGCTAATTCGTATGATTATATTAGTATTGTTTGTAGCAAGTTGGAGCTGTTTGGAGTAAGTTTCATTGATCAAGTTATTACGTACAACTGTGAAGCTTCATTAGTGTATTACCTGATGTAGTCAGGACAGCTTGTCCAGGACACTCTTCTTTATTAGGGTATAAGTGCTTGATTTGTGGAGGGATATGGTGTTATATATCATTATACTTAAATATGGTTCATTACCAATCTGATTCCCTAAAGCCTCTTTGACTTCAGAGGATTGGAATGAATTGCAGTGAAACCTCAAGGACATGATCACAGCTCGAACAGATTTTGGGCTGATATGAATACTTGTAGTGTCTGGTAAGGCTCATTAAACTGCAATTTAACAAAGTACGGCTGTTGTGATTTGATTTTCAACCCACAACGTTTGATAAAAATGTACGCTATCACGCCGCTCACCGGACTGCTTGCCGACTGGTTGTGCCCCCGTGATCTCCGACGACAATGCAGGTTTGGCCGACCAGCTCACCCTCTGCCATCTCCTGACGCCCTGAAGCTCTCACGGAGTGGTTCCCTATCCTCGGACTCCTGCGATCATTTCAATCTTTCCTATCTTCTCCTTACTTATATATGTGGGTCTTTCTAGCTATCTTTTTTATTCTTTCCTCTTCCTTTTAATCCCTCTTTACGCGCATCTATCGTGAACAACTGTTGAGGCGTCACACAATGATCCTTTATTTTCTTTTCTCTCTTTTAAGAATCACTTACTCACCCAAGTACAAAGAGGTGCTGAATGGTTGACAGGCGGGATAGTTGGTACAAATTCATAATGGAATAATTGGAAGCGCAAACCAACGGGACACAAGAGAAGAGACAAACAAGCGCAGACTTCAACTGGTTTATCAGAAACTTCTTTAAAGTTTTTCCTAATGGCTTCAGACGCCTTAGAGAAGTATTGTTCTTGAGAGAGAACAACAAAACATCCTTCCTTATCAGCAGTAACAAGCCTCAGGCTATTAGACACAAAGAACGAAATAATCGGGCCCAGTCTACAGTGTACACCCGCCCTCGCATTCTTTTTGGACAACGTTAAACACATTCCTTAACACAATGCAAACTGTCCGCTTCCTGAACTCTCTGTGCTACTGACCGTGTCAAGGCAAGCTTCTCAAATCCGTCAGGGGTAGATGCCGGGCAAAACTTGGTCCCATTTGAAGAACACGAAGGTGCTCTTCGGGTACTTGGCAGTCGCCCAGTATCAGAATGTCCCGCTTTTCCCTAGGCAACTTTCTCCTTGTTACCAGCGTAGGCCTAGTCACATTCCACAGTACCTCAGTGTAGGTTTCGACCAGGTTGTTCCACGAAGAGAATCTTTCGCCACGGGCACAACATTGCACTCGCAGGCAGCCTTTAAATACATTGGCCTGGTGATACCACTCGGAACAAATAATCTTGAAGAGACGACGAGCGTGAGAGGGAGAAGGAAGCAGCCATCCACACAAGGCCTGAAGTTCCATCGGGCACATTCGCTGCCTGGAATGCCAGGAAGCGAATCTCGCGTGGCATACGCACACCGCTATCAAAGCCGTCGTACACATACGCACACCGCTATCAAATGCATTGCCCAGTGAAAAGTGGGACATCCTGGTACTGGGCGACTGCCAGGTACCTTCGTGTTCTTCAAGTGGGACCCAATTTTTGCCCGGCATCTACCCCTGACGGATTTGAGAAGCTTGCCTTGACACGTTCAGTAGCACAGAGAGTTCAGGAAGCGGACAGTTTGCATTGTGTTAAGGAATGTGTTTCAACGTCCAAAAAGAATGTGAGGGTGGGTGTACACTGTAGGCTGGGCCCGATTATTTCGTTCTTGGTGTCTAATAGCCTGAGGCTTGTTACTGCTGATAAATAATGATGTTTTGTTGTTCTCTCTCAAGAAGAATACTTCTCTGAGGCATCTGCAGCCATTAGGAAAAACTTTCAAGAAGTTTCTGATAAACCAGTTGAAGTCTGCGCTTGATTGTCTCTTCTCTTGTGTCCCGTTGGTTTGCACTTCAAATTATTTCATTATGAAAGAGGTGCTGCCCGTGTGGTCGTGGAAGAGGCAGTATTTATGCGTGGGTGCGGGAGCCCAAGCGCGGGCAGGCGCACCATGCCATCATTTGCCTTCAGTGGCGCATCGTAGCCTTTGAGATAGGGCACGTGAATCTTGGAGGCCTTAATATCCTTTTGTGTGCCTTCGCGTATATATTACAGATGACGTTGACGTCATGTTTTTTGGGGGAAGATCTTAGTAGTCTCACCTTGCCCTGTGTCATGTGTAACCGGCAGTGTCAGACAAACAGACACCCAGACAAAGAGATGGACAGACGGACGGCCGGAAGGACGGACACATAGATCGACGGACGGGCGGAAGCATGGACGGAAGCTCGGATGGACGAATGAACGGACGTATTTATGCACGTACGGACGGACACACGGCCAGACAGACGGATGGCCAGACAGACAGACGGACACACAGAGAAACACAGACAGACGGACAGACACGTGAACGGACAGACAGATAGAGAGAGACACGACCAGACGAACGAATGGACAGACAGACAGGCAGGCAGGCAGGCAGGCAGGCAGGCAGACAGACAGACAGACAGACAGACAGACAGACAGACAGACAGACAGACAGACAGACAGACAGACAGACAGACAGACAGACAGACAGACAGACAGACACAGATGGACGGACAGACAGATGGACGGACGCTTCGCCCCCCTCATCATCCTTCACACCGTGGATATTCTTTTTTTCACTCTCTCTAACGAGTCAACGCATGCTGTTGTGCTCGACGTAGCTTAGTAGCACCGTCGCTCCCTTCTCAGAATATACCAATGACGCACACTTGCTTTTAATTAAGTGTGTGCTGTCACCAAAACGTAATAAACAATACAGCACTTTCAATGAAATTTAGGCACGCGCAATTAGCCGCAATAAAGCTCGTTGCATGAAGATGGCTTCTACGTGAAGCGCCCGAGTTGCATTCACTTGGTAAACGATTGCTAGCGCAAACGTTGCATAAAGTGCCTTGCTTCGGCGTTCATCGATTTGTGGGTACTGGACTAGCAATGCTATTGCACGCCTTAATCGCTTAGAAAGGAGAACGTAAACACGTTTTTCGAACAGTCGCCGGAGCACATGCTGGATACGTCATCAGCTTGAACTATAACATGGGGCAAAGTTTGCGGCTCATCTTTCTTCCTTTAGCATTACGAGTTCATCTCTATGTGCAGCAAGGGATGCAGCAATACTTCGGCACTGCCATTACCAACCAATACACGCATCACGTCGATACGCCTTACGTATACGAATACCTAAACACACACGGACCTGCGCGGACTGTGCGTAGTGCGCCGTACTGAACCTCCAACGTGACGGCTCTGCACAAGACGACTGACAGATGGCATTAATTTTGCATAAGGTCTATACCACCCAGGCAAATTGATAATTCACCAGCCACACGTGCTCCGGTGCTAGGAGACGATGAAGACGAAAAAGAGTGCATGCAACGGCCGAATAGCACGACAGGAAGTGAGAACAGCACCCCTGTTAAATCGATATAACCAACTTACGTGCAGACTTTCTTACGGTTGTACGGAACACTGTCTAACAGTACTCAAATAATTTTCATCTCCAATCCCGATATATTTTTATCTGAACACTGGCCTAGATTCCGCAAGCCACGAATCATATTTGCACAAACATTACTCGATTCCCTGAATGTACAAATTCGTGATGTGTGCCCTTTGACCATGGAACCTAAATTAACAGACATTGTCTATAACAATATTTTTCCGAGCCACGCGAAATTATTACCTCACGGAATTTTAAATGGACCATTGCAATAGCATCTAAATAATCTGCCGATGAATGTGGCTATTGCAACGGATGCATCGCAAACTGAGGAAAAATCTGGTATAGGAATATTCTACCCTCAACTTAATAGGTCTTTTTTGTTACGACTGCCACATTCTATCCCAGTTTTTATAGCTGAATTTATGGCCATATTATTAGCTCTCCAAAAGTTACCCAGTTTGTATACAGTAGTAGAAATCATCACTGACTCATTATCTGTGTGTTCTTCTCTCTCTGCATCTGGTGAAACGCCTCTTCTAAAGCTTTGCAGAATACTAGTTCCCGCGCACCTACAATGTATCCACTTAATTTGGGTACCAGGACACAAGGGTTTGCTTTTAAACGAAAGCACTCATTCTTTAGCAAAGGCGGCACTTTTGATACCAATCATTCCGATTTTCCCACAGACAACATACATTACAATTGCACGATTCCGCACCTTAACTTTCAAAAAATGCTTGTCAAACCCCGTCTTGACAGCTTCTCCAGAATACAAGCACCTATTATTTGTCTGGAAAAGTGAGTTATCGCGGTCGAGAATAGTGGAAGTGGCCATAACTAAACTTCGCTGCTGGGTTACTTCCCTCAACTTTTAACTGCATAGAGCATGTCAAGCGTTGTCTCCTCTGTGTATCTTGTGTAAGGAGGAGGAAACAATCAGTGCTTACTTTCTATCCTGTGGCCGCTATACGTCATTGAGAAGAAAATTCATAGCACCACCTCTGTCGAAACTTAGGTATGGAAATATCCGTAACAGTTGTTCTATCATTCAGCGCCTCTAAGCTGGGCTACAGTAACAAGAATGTTTAATACGCAATAGAGGAATATATCAGACAGACTAAAAGAATATAGAGCTAAATTCTTAATTCTTTTAACGTTTTAATATTATTATTCAGTAATTATTTGTTTTGAAACCTATCCCTAGCATAGACGAGTAGTATTGCGAAGACAAAAAACAAATTCACCTAACACTCGGCCAATACCCTGCATTGCGTAAGAGCCATGAGGTGAGAATAAGAAGAAGAATGTACAGGCCCACAATGATGACTCACACGTGGCCTCGGGTTTAGCTGTGGTCGCGATTTTGTAATGCGCTCAGATGTAACTAATCTTAGAGGCCACCGTGCTGATTAATTCAAAGCACACTTAGTTTCAAAATACAATCAAACTGCATATTTCTTAAAAATATCATCAAGAATAGTTTCTGGCACTTTTATTGCATGGGTTCACTTCTGCACTCGGTGAAACGACAACGAAAAGAAAGAATATGCTTTTTGTTTGAAAACACTATCTAACTTTGTCGACCATTCTTGACGCGATGTTCGGTTCCATGGTAACCAATGAAACGCAGTGCGCTGAGGGGTGCATTTGACTTTCTTTTGCTGTTCGCTTATTCAAAAAGCGGTGTCACCAGACCTCGGAAAGGGGTCGGGATTCGCCAAGCTTGGCCGCCCTGCATAGCACTCTGGGTGTAGAACAAAGTCGTGGGGTTCTCCATGCATTTGGCAAAGACGACTAAAAGGTGAAAGATGTGTCTTCTGAGTTAATATATTGATCCATTGATCCTTCCCTGCCGATCTACTTCTACACCCCTCTAGATTGTACAACTCTGAAGTCTAGCGTTGTTCGGCCTCACGCTCACGCGTAAACAAACGCTAATGATACTAGGCACGCTGGCATTCCGAAGCGTTTCTTTCTCTCCGACGTAACGGATGTGTGCGCTCGAAGATGGTTGTCAACATTACATGTGACTGTGACCTGCCCGTGAGGCCTCACATTTCACTCGACATGCATGGTCAGCCAGTGCCATGTGGCACAATGATTCATCTTACGCAAAATGTATACCTTCATTGGAACGCTTATTGTCAAATAATACGACAAATCTAGCAACTTGCTCATTGCTTTCCATTACAGAGCTTTGCAGAAAGTCCTTGGCATCTTCCGTATCGGTCATACAACAATGACGCTCCAATTTATATCGTCCCTACAAGCCACCCTCTAGCTGTGCAGGTCAACATTACTTATCACTATTTCTTATTTTTTTTTGTCAAAGTTCAGTATTACTTCATGCAAGGTAACACTCCAGCATGCGTCAAGAATAATCATTATGGCAGAGCACCTCTGGAAGCTGCTTGGTTTTTCTTCGTGTAATGCCTGAACCACAAGTCCGCAGCAGAGGCTACAATCACCAGCGCGAGCAAGATGGTCAAAGCAGAACTGAAATACGGAAAAAGTAACAAATGCAAGTCATTACCAAACACGACAAAGTTATGCGGTGGTCTACTGCCGCTGATGTCTTTCGCTGCTTGCTTAGATTGTTCGTACCATAATGGAAATGAACCAATGGTTACATAGTAAAAAAGAGAGAGAGAGAACTTTATTCAGAATGCCTGTAGAACCGGCTGGGCTCCCTCCACGCAGCGACGAATACTTAATAAATATTATAGTTTCTTGCGAATATGACTTATCAGCCGTCCTGTAACACTTCTCGACACCGTAGCACTTATCGACAGCAAGACGCAAACTAAGAAAGGTAAAATCATAGTTCGTCACTTCGGTCATACCATTTAGGCACTTAAATTTCAGAAAACTACTCCATCGTCGAAAACGCCTTCTCCGATGACCGAGCCAATCAGTGGGTTGGTAATGTTGTGTGACATAAAAATAATTTTAGATTGCGTGAAGACACCAATAAATCTTTCATATCTCTTCACCTTGCCAAGAAGGGTGTAGCCGCATTCTTGCTACATAGTGTGTACTTACAGTGCAAAGACTTGCTCTGTGCCCATCGCTGTCGGTGAGGAATCCTTACAGACAGGCACCGTAACACGTATGCCATACGGTTCAGTAGCTGCACATGAAGGACGTCAAAGCAAATTATTCAAGTAAGCACTTTGTTAGTTGTTTCGTGCTGACGTAACAATAACAGGTATTGCAGTTTCTTCCAGACAAAAGAAAAACCTAAAAATTGAATCTGGCAACATTTCGACTGCATGCGACATTTAAAACTTGCGGTCCTATTTCAGAAAGTGGTGAATGTATACTAGGGGCTACTTTCTCCGCCAATCACCATACGCACACGTCACAAAGAGTATATCGGCGCTATGGCCACGCCACGTTCTCACTGTTGAGCCAGTAAGGAGTCCAACTCAACTGCACGTACAGGTAAAAAAATATAGAGCAGGCAAACTCCACAAACACATTAGTTCCCTGCACCCTGTACCTTAACATTATACCATGCTTCCGCGAACACACTTAGGAGATCACAACTCGGGTCTCGCCCCACGCTGGCGCCCCTTCCAGTGTCCATAAACACATCGCGCAAAGTTAGCAAAAAAAATTCTAGTACCAATGACACAGTGGAGCTTGAACCTGGGTCCGCTGAATGCCAGCCCAGTATTCTACCACTGAGATACGCCAGTGCTTGGGAATTGTTGGCAAATTTGCCCTAGGCTGGCTTGATGAAGGGAAAGTAATCGCGTTAATACGACTTATAAAGCGTTTTAAAACAGCGAAAGAATAAGCAGTCGTCGCACAATGCGAATAGCGTAAAGAGTGGGTCATCCAATGATCGAACCCCTCAAAAAAGCTTGTTTTTTTTTTCAGCTAATAACAGGGGCGCATACCGACTCCAGGCATAATTCCTCATCTTCGTCAGCCACTGCATTAACAATTGGCACAAAATTCCTCGCAATAGTTTAGCGGATATACCACGCCTCTGAAATATGACGAAAAATAGCATAGCAAATGCCAGCCAACTACCCTAAATGATTTATTAATAATGCCATAGTGGATACCCATAAACTGTGCTTGCAGCAGTTATCCCATGAATGTTTGGAAAAGGCTCTGAAAGACCGCTCTTTTAGCTTTCTATGTGGTTTTGCTGTGCCTTCCGCACAGGCCTGGCGTTATTTGAAAAACGCGCCACCTTCACAAACTTCCTATCTCTTCCATAGTCGTGGCATACAGATTGAAAGAGTTGCTCCTGAGTGGCGGAGTCTTGAAAAGCCACACAGCTAGAAATTTTACAGGATCAAATTTAAGGTTAACCATGACGCAGAATAGATGCGCCTGCTTGCAGAGGCACAAACGCGAGTAGTAACGGGATAGTTGTGCACACTAACATCTAAATGAAGAGTATTGTTAAGCTAAGAACCATTTGTACGATTATGGTAACAAGGCGACGGTATTCGTACAACTATGCGAACGCTTCCAAAAAAACTTGCAGCCCATCTACAGAAATTCTACAGAGCATTAGTCAGCCGAAATGCGGAATATATGTAGCCAATTGACAAACTTTCTGTCACCCAGACCCCACCGCGGTGGTCTAGTGGCTAAGGTACTCGGCTGCTGACCCACAGGTCACGGGATTAAATCCTGGCTGCAGCGGTTGCATTTCCGATGGCGGCGTAAATGTTGTAGGCCCGTGTGCTCAGATTTGGGTTCACGTTAAAAAAACCCAGGTGGTCGAAATTTCCGGAGCCCTCCGCAACGACGTCTCTGATATTCATATGGTGCGTTTTGGGACGTTAAACCCCACATATCAATCAATCTGTCACCCCCTGTCACCTCCAAGTAGGCAATCGTTTCTGCAGAAAGTCTGCAGAGCATCAGTAGCCGTGCATGATACAGCATTCCTGCAGAATATCTGCGAACATCTGCAGAAGGTCTTCAGCATTTCTGCAGAATATACAAAGCGTTTTGTCACGAATGAACAAGACGTAATAGCTACCGTTTGCGCTACCATGCACATTCAAGGAACATACAACTTCGAAGTGTAGTATACCACCTGTACATTCACCAAATACGTGCTTAACATATACAAGCAACAACAGCTCAGTAAATACTAAACACATACACCTCCTGCACTTCACAGTCTAACACCTACCACCCTTTGTATATAGCCATGTCTTCTTTACCGGACATTGAGCACTCGTAGGAAAACTCTTATGCTTCAAAATTTGCCCTTACACGAACACAACATACGTGATAAATTATGCTGGCTGTGAGGTAGCCAGAAAGTACACATATCTTTTGTTTGCACTTGCAAAATGTGCAACAATCATTTAATTAGAGACATTTAATTACCATCTGACAGGCAGTCACATGAGGCTGCAGAAAAGCTTCAGCATTTTCGCAGGACAGTCTGTGGACTAGGGTGATTGGTGGGTGATTGACTGATGGGTGACTGAAAGAAGAAGCCCTTTTAGTTATGGTTATGAAATGTGTAATGAACAAGATTGTATAAATATATCCGTATCGAATATGTACATCCAAACATGCACCCACAGGGCCCATATTAAAAGACAAGTCTACTTGTCGTGTACAGAAAATCTGCAGACTAGGTCCGTAAGGGGATGGCTGGGGGGTGTCTGATGGGTGACTGAAAGGTGAAGCCCATTTAGTTATAGTTATGGAATGCGTCATGACCCAGAATGTATAGATAGGTACGCACATAATATATACATCCACACACGCAATCACAGGGCCCACAATGAAAGTCAAGTCTGCTTGTCGTCTGCAGAAATTCTGTAGGCTAGCTCTGTACGGTGGTGACTGGTGGGTGTCTGATGGTTGAAGCTTATTTAACGATTGTTATGAAATGTTCCAAGGTGCAGAATTAGTAGATACATACGTGAATGTTATTACATTCGAGCGCACGCAATCTGGCAGCACATTAGCAGAAACGCTTGCTTGCCGTCTGCCTGGCGTGTGCAGAAAGTCTGCAGATGAGGTCTGCAGTAAGGTCGACTCTACATAAAGGGGACTGTGGTGACTGATGGATGACTCGTGGGTGACAGAAAGGCTAAACTCATCTTCGTAAGGGAAGCCGAGCCGTTTATTGTACTTGGTGAGGCTGAGCTGTAGAAGCTGGGTTGCCACTTTCAAATTATTTGCACGTCACATAGACCGTTATTCAGTTGTGTTCGTCATAAATATTTTTATTGCATATGAAGGGACGTACGTACAAATTCTTAAGTAGGGTCGGCAATTACCCAGTGTTTATATTCTTTTTGAAATACTATCCGAAAAACTAAGAAGAAGAATGCGTACGAAAGAGTATGCCCAAGAACCTTAAACATTTCATCAAATTATGAACTGCTTTCTTTTTTCATATTAAGACTGTACTTGCGAAGTTATATAGATAAGTGAATCGATTCAATTGCGTTTTTTTGACAAGCCAGATGCTCTTTTAGAGTAATTGGGAAAAGCTACTTTGCCACACATAATCTGATCCGCCTTGTTGTAATTGTTTTTTATTGTGTTCATGTCGCCAAAACACTTCAAACGAGCACTGCACTTGAAATGCGCGTAACCTACTAAAGCTGATATTCAGAAGTAATGTTGCATTTGGCGAGTATAGAATACACAACATGCTATTAGGCCCACCTTTGTCGAAAAGATTCACTTCGAACCTGTCTTGGCTACATAAGCGAAACAAAGTGCTAATCACTATTTGGCCATGCTTTGCCACTACATTCACTAAATAAACGTTGTTTTTTTGTAGCGTATTTTATAGGATGAGAAGACTTCTAGGTAGCCTTGGGTTTTTCCAATAAAACAAAGCTGAAGCGTCCTGTTTTCAGCAGACCTTCTTTGCTTCGCAGCAGCCTGCGTACATATTATAAAAAATAACACGCTACCTTGTTCATTCAGACGTGTTTTTTCTTTTTTTTTCTATCTGACAATCATAATATTTGAATCGCTAGGCCACGGTGGCTATACTTTTCTTTCAGCAACACGCTTGGAAAGTTATGCGTTTTTCCTGGGCTCATTTGGCGCGGATTACTTCATTTTTTTCTTCGTCAGCCTCGTCACCGTTGAATGTGTCTACATCTAGATTTCATGCTCAACGTCCTCGGCGTAATTCATTCTAAATACAACTGCTTTCGGCACTCAATACGAAAGTAACGAAAAAATGCAACCAAGGGGTGCACCTTTTATACTCTTTATTCTCCGAATTTATTCCTATGATTGTCACGTCCGACACCTTCGTTTCAGCCACCCTTCTCTATACAGTAGTTTGAAAACGTTTCTGGCCGGCTGATGATGGACACATATAATATATTATTAAGAACTGTATTTTACGTGCAAAACTAAAATTTGATTATAAGGCACGCCGTATATGGTGGGGCGCTCCGGAAATCTGAACCACCTGGTGTTCTTTAGGGTGCACTGATATCGTAAAGTAAACTAGCCTATGGCCGGGATCAATCCCACGACCTTCGGTCAGCAGCCGAGTAGTGCCATAACCGCTACAACCACGGATGCGTACTACACTTCAAACATCGATAATTACTTCCTCAACTAGTCGTCTAATAGTTATTGGTAAGAATTCCAGCTCGTTTGTTCATTGTGAGTACGCAAATTCCCAATCTCAGCGTGTGCGACGGCCACGGTCATATAAGCGTGCTCCAACATGTGTTCATTCCAACAAGCGCTTCTTGCTTGCAAACCATACAAGTGAAGAAGATGCTGTTGCCACAATTACCTATACATCCGTTGTCTCTTTTAACAGAGAGATTGAAGTTTTGCTTTGCATCTCAACCCCAAGCGTTAATGGGGTTGTCAAACTTACCAGCTGCGAGCAAATTTTCTATGTCAGTGGCCGTGCACGTAGACGGCGCACAAAGCGCTGCACGTAGGCCCTCTTGATAGGGGTTCTCTTGCAAGCTCTCGAACTCCTCAAAACTTCCTAGCCGCATTTTTATCTGCGGCGTACTCTCGAAGATTCGCCTCATGAGCTTGGTGATGAACGGGTTGCCTCGCGTCTTCAGGAAGGTGCTACAATAAGAGCCTCGAAACGCCACCAGGCTGCTGTTGGCTTCGTCCAGAACTTCAATGCTGAGGCATTCATCATATCGTCCCAAACTACCGCTGTTCAGTTCAAACACTCCTTCGGGAACGCCGGCTGACTCGACAACTGCAAACAAGCAAAAACAAAAAAAGATATGAAGAAAACGCGGCTGATCTCTTTTCTAGGAATTGCTATAACATGAAGTTGAACGTGTCTCTGCAGAGGTAGTTGAGCATATATTGTGCATTGTTTCACTACAAAGACGAAGGAATGAATGCTACAGCAACTAATTGCGATGTCGCGCAAAGAACGGCCAGCCACTGGAAACATGCAGCGCACATGTCAACAGAAAGCAACGACAAAGTTAGCATACACAAAAACAGCGTGGACTAACAATTGTCACATATAGACAGCTCGATGCTTAAAGCCCGCTTCTCAAATAGAAATTCGTACGAAACGAACGCACAAGTATACACAAGACAAGCGCGACCTATTGTCACAATTCTTACCCCTTGGTGTGTGAGCAGCGGGCGTCTTGTAAACACGGCCGCAGCAGCAAGATCAGCGACCTTTGACCTCTCCCAAATTACGAGTGTGACAAACGCGCGCACAATAGAGACCACGCTCCTTAGAGGCAGTGCTAACAAAAAGGCCACAGGGGATGGCCTTTAGAGCGCACTCAATGCAGCCAACGTGTGCTCGTCGCGCCATCTCACTACTGATTACGAAAAGTCACTAAAGTTACGGAACTCCGAGAACCACCACACGGTGCGTAGTATGTCTAAATTGCTTGCCATTAACATATTTGACAATGGACGTTCCGTGGCTAATTGGTTAGCACCACGCACTGTGAATCGGGATGTCGTCGCCAGTGCGATGTTCCACGACAGAACCCTTTCTTCTCCTTTTTTTTCACAGTTCCCTAGTATACAGTTTGCAACGACATATCCGTAACGAAAATACGTTCGCGAAGCCAGGGTGGACGTCGGCATAAAACGCTTTCGTGTTAAAGGAAACACTCACCAGTCTCGTATTTCTACTCTTTTTGTTTCTTGTAACGACTGCCTTGGACAGATGCCTCAAGATTACTTTGTAGGCCACAGGAGCGAAAGAGAGACACGCCTGAACGATAACCGATGCCAGCCCGGAACGTGAGCCGTGGCTTCACGTGCCACGGCCTAGCGCCTTCTTTATTTTCTTCTGTCGCCATCGCGCGCTCTCCAGTTTGCGCGCCGCCCGAACGAGAGCGCTACAGGGCCCCCCGTGTAGACTGGAAGTCGGAATGTGACATGCCGTTTGTGGTATTCCAACGGAAGATCAGTCGTAGATGAGAGGCTTTCTAAGGCGGTCTCCAGGTACGCCGGCTTGAGTCGGTCCAAGCTGACTGTCTCTTCACGGCCGTTCTGAAGTAGAGTGGCAGTTTTGGGGGTGCGGTGAAGGACGCGGAATGGTCCGTCATAGGCTGGTGTCAAAGGTGGTCTGACCGCGTCGTGGCGCACGAAAACATGTGTTGCAGTGGCCAGATCAGGGTGGGCGAATATGGTCTTGTGTTCGGAAGGTATGGGTGGAGTGGGCCGGAGGTCTTGAACGCAGTCGAGGAGGCGTTGTAGGAATTGCTGTGGCTGGTCTGGTAGCTTCGTTGACGTGAAGAAGTCTCCCGGAAGCCGTAGAGAAGTGCCATACACCAGCTCTGCTGTTGAGCACTGCAGGTCTGCCCGGATGACAGCTCGTAAATCTAAGAGCACCAGTGGCAAGGCATCAACCCAGATGGCTCTATTGAGGCGGGTAGTCAAGGCGGTCTTCAGTTGTCGGTGAAGGCGTTCCACCATGCCGTTGGCGCAGGGATGATAAGCCGTGGTACGGCAATGCCTGGCTCCGAGGATGCGATTAAGGCAAGTAAACAGCGAGGACTCAAACTGACGTCCGCGGTCTGTTGTCACGGTGCCAGGACACCCAAAACGGGATACCCACGTAGAAATGAAAACGCGGGCTACTGTCTCGGCTGTGATATCTTGAATTGGAACAGCCTCTGGCCAGCGTGTGAAGCGATCGACCATGGTCAATATATAAAGGTACCCCTGAGACACTGGTAGAGGGCCCACAATGTCTAGATGAACATGGTCGAAACGACGGCCGGGTGGAAGGAAAGGTTGGGGCGGCGTCTTAGTATGACGGGAGACCTTTGTCATCTGGCAGGGCAGGCACATGCGCGTCCAAGCGCGCACATCACCGTTGATTCCGGGCCAGACATAGCGCTGGGTGAGAAGACGCTGAGTAGCCCGAATGCCAGGGTGACAGATGTCGTGTAAAAAGTGGAAAACGGTGCGTCGTAATGAAGCGGGAACGAAAGGGCGGGGAAGGTCAGCTGAGACATCGCACCACAAGCGCTCAGATGATAATGGATGAGGCACCAGGCGTAGTCGGAGAGAACGGGGGTTCTCCCGAAAAGCGGCAAGCTCTCTATCATCCTGCTGTGCCGAGGAGAATGAGGCCCAGTCGATGGTTGGCGGTGGAGAGTCAACCGCGGCTATACGAGAAAGGGCATCTGCGGCGGTGTTGTCAGCTCCTTTCACGTGGCGGATGTCAGTCGTGAACTCCGATATATAAGCCAGATGGCGGAGTTCACGAGGCACGTACTTGGATGAGTTAGTGCGGAAAACATACTCCAGTGGCTTATGGTCAGTCAGCACGTAAAACGAGCATCCTTCCAGGAAATGCCGAAAGTGCTGTATTGCAGCGTAGATGGCTAGTAATTCCCGGCCAAAGACGCTGTAGCGGGTCTCAGCAGGAAGTAGCTTCCGAGAGTAAAACGACAAGGGTCTCCACTCGGAGTTAATGCACTGCTGTAAGACGGCTCCGACGGCCACGCTGGATGCGTCCACCATCAACCGAGTAGGGGCGTTGCTGCGTGGATGAATGAGAAGCACGGCGTTAGCGACCGAGTAGGCGGCCTGGGCCTCTGACGACCAAGGAATGGCGGAGGACGGGCCGGCGGTCGACCAAAGGAGGTCGGTGAGCGGTCGTAGCAGTTCGGCACAGTGTGGTATGAAGCGCCTGGAAAAATTCACAAGCCCCAGGAATTGGCGTAATTGGCGCAGTGTTGTAGGCTGAGGATAATCCTGAATTGCTCTAACGTGGGACCGGAGAGGGCGTATTCCTTTGGATGATATGTGATGGCCCAAGAACTCGAGCTCAGATGCGCCGAAAGTACACTTAGAGGCGTTCACAACGAGGCCGTACTGCTGAAGACGTTGGAACAGAGCGCGTAGATGGTGCTCATGATCTTCAGGTGTGCGGCTGGCGATGAGGACATCGTCAAGGTACGCGAACACAGTAGGAAGACCTCGTGTGACCTCAGAAATGAACCGCTGGAAAGTTTGAGCCGAATCGCGGAGTCCAAAAGGCATCCGCACGTATTCAAACAACCCAAAGGGCGTCACGATGGCGGTCTTAGGTATGTCGGCGGGCTCGACAGGAATCTGGTGGTACGCCTTAACAAGGTCCACTTTGCTGAAAATTGTGGAGCCGTCGAGGCGCGATGTAAAATCCTGGATGTGAGGTAGAGGATAGCTGTCGTGGACAGTCTTGGCGTTCAACGCTCGATAGTCCCCACAAGGACGCCAGTCACCAGGATCACACTTTGGCGCCAAATGCAGCGGGGAAGCCCAAGCGCTTGATGACGGGCGGATAATGCCGAGCTGCAGCATGTGGTCAAACTCCCGTTTAGCAATAGCTAGGCGGTCTCCGAACAGGCGGCGTGGTCGAGCGGCTGCCGGTGGACCCCGGGTGACGATGTGGTGTGTCACCGTATGTTTAGGCGGCTGAGTGAGGTTGCACGGTTTAGTTTTTTTCGAACGGTGAGGAAGGTATCAGCATGCGGATGGTCATTGGAGCGATGTCGGACAGGACTCCCGAGATGGAGAGACAAGTCTTACCATCTATGAGGCGGCGCCGCCGCACGCTGACGTCCAAATCGAAGTATGAGAGGAAGTCCGAGCCGATGATCGGTTGAACCATGTCTGCGATGACGAAAACCCACCGGAAAATGCAGCGAAGGCCGAAGTTGAGGGTGAGAGATTGGAGCCCATACGTTGCTATAGACGAGGCGTTGGCAGCATGAAGCACTTGCCCCTGTGACTTTGAACGATCAGCCTTAGTCGAAGGCACAACACTAATTTCCGCGCCCGTATCTATAAGGAACCTGGCGCCCGATAGCTGGTCCGTGACCATGAAAAGGCGGCTGGGACGAGAAGGGAGATCACACGCCGCCGTCAGTGATCCCGGCAGGCGCTTCCCTGCCACGAACATGGGGGTGTACACCGTGGCTCGGTGTCGGAAACGCCGGTGATACCAGCAGAGGGGTGGAGGGCTGGGACTCCGAGCATCTCGTGTGCGTGGAAGAGCTCGACGACCGGAACGAGGCGATCGAGTCTCCTGCAGGGGCCTCCGGAGTGCGGCAATGGAGGCGGCGAGTTCGTCGATGCGGGCCTCAAGGCTCGAAATTGCTGTGTCTGCTGGTGGTAAGACAGCGTTGACAGATGGGGAGGTCGCTTCCTGAACCTGATCGGCGAGCTCCGCCAGGCGGTCGAGATTGACGTCGCCGGCCGCCGCGAGGACGAGGCGGATTGGTTGAGAAAGGCGTTGGAGGAAGAGCTCGCGAAGCAACGCTGAGTGGGCAGAGACGTCGTGTTTCCTAAGAAGCTGTCGCATTCGGCGCAGTAGTTGGGAGGGGCGCCTGTCGCCAAGGTCCCCCTCTGCAAGGAGCTGCTGTAGGCGGACGCGTTCCGAAGGCATGAATCGTTCCAGCACCTTGGTTTTAAGGTGCTGATATGGCGTAGTGTCCGAGGGGTTGGAGAGGACGTCGGAGAGCTCACTGGCAACGTCAGGAGGAAGGACGGAGGCTACGTGGTAGTAGCGTGTCGTTTCCGAGGCGATGCGGTACAGGGAGAATTGTGCCTCGACCTGATTAAACCAAACTTGCGGGTCCTGTGGCCAGAAAGAAGGGAGACGCAGTTGCACGGCCGAGACGTCCTGCGGACGTGAGGCTTGTTCGGTTCAGGGTGCATTCGAGTCAGTCATTGTCTTCGTTCGGGTCACCATTTGTAGGCTTATGCCACAGGAGCGAA